AAGAAAACAAGTGGCAGACTAATAGTTGCTACAAATTTCAGTCGTATGTACAAGTGTACGAGCTTGAGGCGAGATCAGAATAACCGTAAGGGTGGGGTCAGACCGGAACCCCACCCATAATGATCCCCGCGACAAAAAACTCAAAGTGCCAAAGCTCATAGTGAGAGGGCGCTCTTCATGAGAGCAGGAACGCACCAGTATGGCTATCCTGTCGGACAAATAGCACTACGACTATTCTGGATCTTCCTACTTCTTAACCACGAACTCGGAATAGGTAAGCGATTACTGTTGTGTTTGTGCTGCTTCTTGCCTCTACTCTCATGGTAAACGTTGAAAGCCCCTCAGAACGAATCGCTCGCGATTCTTGTCAAAGCCTTGGAATTCATCACGAATCCATCATTCCTCACGAGAGGCCATAGAAAACGATTTTGCACTGAAATTATAGCCGGTGTGGTAGTAAATCTCGTCCCGACACCGGATATCTCGTCCATCATTCGATTTGTCATTCATGAAATGATGTGCATTTGTGTGTCGTATGAGGTTCGCGGCGCCGATTGGTGAACGGCCACCATGGTAGGCCACGCCCATCGGCCATACGACCACCATTGCCTGCCGTCTTACTGATCCTCTACTGAAAGGATTTCGTTAGTTATCTCAATTACCAGAAGCTGTCAGGTAAGCCGTCTTGAGGTTTAAGCACTGCCCTGAGAACTCCATTGGATTTTTCAGGGTTTTTAGAATGCCCAAAGAGCAGTATATGTGCCAGTTATGTGCGAATCATGGTATATTCAACCAACCAAAAAAAGGTCACAAGCAAAAATGTCCCCATAGAAATTGCATGTGGGTTGGTTACAATGCGGATTCTTTCATGATAGGCCCTTCGTTAATTTTGGCACTAAGAGTCCAGTTTTTATTCTTCAATACCGTAGTTTCGCGCACATTTTCAGAATTAATAACCTTTTTCAAGAGCTTTTCTAGGAAAAATGTCGATCATTTGGCTAGGTACATTGCACTTTTGCTTTTACTTTTGCGCTTTCTGTTTCTCTAAAAGGGCACTGCGGCCACCGAATTTCAAGCGGCCTTACAAGGTGAGTAGTTGCCCTCATCAAGCCGAATAGCGCCGTCGATTTATGCTGGAATATCACATAAAGAAAGTCTGTATCAATTTTGTGGGGCAAGGTGGGAATATACAAGACGCAGCTATCAAAATTACGAGTTTTATAGGCAGTATATTTTGAATCCCTTTATTTTCATCAATTTCTCTTCCATATGCTTCCTGTAAAAACCTTTAGGTGCAGTTTGTGTGCGCTCAATACAAAGCGGCGAGCTTTGGATCAAATCGAACGGCAGCTGAGGAATGCCACCAATGAGGTTCGAAGTGACTCCACAGCGCCAAACAATTCTGATGGTATCTTTTTGTCTTTGATAGTGATTACAATCACTCTCAGTGGACAGCATACGGTAACGGTAGCCCAGGGTATTGGACGCTGCAATTCTTGATCTTCAGGACATGCAGAGTGAGAAAAAAGATGTTGGGACGTCTACATTACTCGCTTCCCGCTACCCTTGAACCCTTCAGGCGTGCCTGCACTAAACCCATGTCCCACGGTCATCTGATGCTAGTAGTTTAGACACTTAGGAAACTGTCAGGGACAAATCTTCTGCTAGCGCTAATAAAGGGGAAACATTCGAAAAGATCTTGATCCGAAATAGAATTACCGTAACCTGAGGTGAAGACAAGAGCGTAAGCATAACGGGAAAAGGAGCTACGGTCTGAATGAACCTTGTCACTTTTACGAAGTTCTCAATTTGATACTGTACAATTTATGCTCAATGATTTTACTGGACCCTCAACAGTAATCGGCGGCAAGTGGATCGCTTACTATGCGCGCAGTCCTGGGGTGAAGCCTGAATCGGCTCCTGCTCAAGCAGACCTAGCACTCTACCCCAGGGCACATCGTTGTTAAGGATTCCCCAACAGAGGGGGTCGTATTTGGTCGCTAGGAGAGGGGTCATTTGGACTGGGAAAAATTTCTTTCTGGATAGTCTATTTTTATTCCTTCAGGGACTTTGTA